TAGACGCTTTCGTATGATTTCATGGAAAATTAATATCCAAATTCAACAAAAAAAAACGATCAATTTCTTGCCAAAGAAACTTTATAAAGTCAGACAAACCAATGTGAGTTTTGGTTTATTGTACTGTATGTCTTGTGAATAAGAATTTTGTATGAATATTTTCGTTTGTGAAGTTTGTTACATGTTCCATGACATTTTCAAGAATCTACATATTTCTGATTTGGAGGTGATACAAAACTCACTTACCATTGATAGTTGTGGACGTACAAAAGAAAACAAATGATGCAATGAAAACAACAACTGCTGTTTTCGCCATTTCTGCAATACTGGTTTCAATAGAAAAGATACACCCATCAATATTTATACCAGTTTTAGTATGTGATTAGACCCACCTATTACAATGTATACCACCATGTATATTCCTCACTATCCATGCAGGAATTTTTCTTACGCCAATTGTTATCAGAAGATTCAATTATCTAATAATTTATCAGCGATGTTGCATTTTAACCAAGGGACGGCGAGATTCATTTAATGCTAATACCCCTATGAATTCTGTGGAGGTCACTTGATGTTATGCATAAAAATTTCGATACATCGATTTGGAACACAAGAACAGAAGTTTATTATATTGAAATATGATGAATTTCACGAACATATTTTTTCACCATTTTGGATTAGGGACAATCATTTTTCTCCAAGCGGCAGAGAAAGTGGCTTTTTCCTGCCGCATAACAGGCAGGAAAAGTGTACTTTTCATGCCTAGGCAGGAGAAGTGTACTTTTCATGCCTAGGCAGGAGAAGTGTACTTTTCATGCCTAGGCAGGAAAAGTTATTTGTCTGATCAGCTGATCACGAAATTTCCCTCCTTGAGATTTTAGGTTTCTCATCATCTGTCGGTGGAACATTGAATCACTGTAAGAATTCTGTGACATTTTTGACGTTCAATAATATACAGCGTGTTTCATTTCAAACGGCCCCCCCTCGATATCTCAGCTATCAGTCGTGCGATCTTTACCAAATTTGTATCGGTATGAATAATCATCAATATGACCAGTTCTTCAAAGACAAACATCATTTTAGACAGTGCCGTGCATTTTTATCGAAATGAATAGGGGTCAGTTTTTTATTAAATTATATTAGGCATTTTTTCACAGGAAAACTGACCTCATAATATTGTTCTTCATGCTTCCAAACCAACATTTGTGGATTTTCATAAGATGCCTATATACAGTGTGTCCCACTCACCATGGGTATCTTTTTAACGGTGAGAGATACGAGGTCGGTTAAATGACACCAAATGTGGAGTTTGTCAAGGCCAACTATAATGTGAAAAAATATTTTGATAAAATCTATTAGTTTTTGTTTTATACGCAAAAAACAAATTTTGATCATTTTCATGTCTCCTCAGTATCTTCTTTATTTATGAAAATATCCAAATAGGAATTTCACATTCTCATGGCAGTTTTTCAAAGTGATTTCGAAAAAAATATGAAATTTATACCAACTCTTCTTGAATTTGAGATATCATCACCAACTTTAGTTTTTCAAATGTAGGTCATAGCTCACTATGACTTAGTTACAAATAACTTTTTTTTCTCTTTCAGATGATGTGTCGCAGTAATATAGTTTTGTGTTGATAACAACGGAGTTATCGTCATTTACACAAAAACAAAAAATCATTTGGAAGCCGCCATCTTGAATTCATGAATTTTAACAAAAAAATCATGATCTCCGACCTCAAAAACCCCCACTTACTGATTTTGAATGGAATCGGACCAAATCTTGTCCGCCATCTTGGAGCAGCCATTTTTTTTAATTTCAACAAAAATTCCATAATGTATTGTCACCGAAATTATGAACACCTGCCAAATTTCAAGTAAATCGGAGTTATGAAATTTTTGTCGAAATTAAAAAAAATGGCTGCTCCAAGATGGAGGACAAGATTTGGTCATTCAAAATTGGTAAGTGGGGGTTTTTGAGGTCGGAGATCATGATTTTCTTGTTAAAATTCATAAATTCAAGATGACGGCTTCCGAATAATTTTTTGTTTTTGTATAAATGACGATAACTCCGTTGTTTTCAACACAAAACTATTACTGCGACATATCATCTGTGAGAGAAAAAAAAACTATTTGTAACTAAGTCATAGTGAGCTATGACCTACATTTAAAAAACTAAATTTGGTGCTGATATCTTAAATTCTAGAAGACTTGGTATAAATTTCATATTTTTTTCGAAATCACTTCGAAAAACTGCCATGATAATGTGAAATTCCTATTTGAATATTTTCATAAATAAAGAAGTTACGGAGGAGACATGAAAATGATCAAAATCTGTTTTTTGCGTATAAAACAAAAACGAATAGATTTTATCAAAATATTTTTTCACATTATAGTTGGCCTTGATAAACTCCACATTTGGTGTCATTTAACCGACCTCGTATCTCTCACCGTTAAAAAGATACCCATGGTGAGCATGGTAAGTGGGACACACTGTATGAAGGGTTTCAGAAAAACAGGCACATCTAAACAGCATTTTTGCGAACGTAATAATTATTTACTCGGAAACGGTGAGTTCAACATAAAAAAGTATAACTCGCGTTTCCTTCCATATCATGATTTTCCACCTACCGGAGCCATTGAACGTTCCAAAATTCGTAGTTGATTTGAAGTCACTATTTATTCGAGACTGAAAATGAAAAAAATGGAGCCAATCCTGTTAATTCGGAATTAGGTGTTTTTTTGCATATGGGAGTTCGAAAGCATGAGGAACAATAATATGAGGTTAGATTTCCTGTAAAAAAATGTCTAATATGATTTTATGAAAAATCGACCCCTTTTTAGTTCAATAAAAACGCACGGCACTGTCCAAAATAATGTGCATCTCTGTGAAACTGATAATATTGATGGTTATTCATACCACACCAAATTTGGTTGGAATCGCATGACTAATAACTGAGATATACAGTGTCATTCATAAAGTCAGCATCATATGGGAAACACTTTTATTAATGACTTATTTTGAAATTCGAGTTGAACATCAAGTTTTGCTTCAAAAAAGATGGAAAATGGCCTACTCAATCGGGGTCACGTGACTTTCGCTACATGTAAGAAGTGACATTTTTTCAAATTAATCGCTGGTTGTAGGCTTTTTTGTTGAAATATCAAAAAAGTTTACTTGAAAAAGTTGTTTCTATTTCAATTTCACATATGTGATTCGGATTTTATCTTTCTATTACATTTTTCAGATTTCGATATTTTTTGAAAATTTTCGAAATTTCTGTAATATTAGAAAAATTGTATATTCGATAAAACTACTTCATATCAGTAGCTCCATCATGCTACTAACTTTCAATTACTAATTATCACTAATCATCGACAAAAATATGATTTTCTTCAGAAAATGATAATCTCCGCTTCAAAATTCTGTTATGTTTGATGCAAACATAACATCACAATGCTGTTATGTTTGAGTCAAGCATTTAGAAACGAAATTCATTTGAATTTATTTCTTCAGTACTGAAAAGATCAGTTTAAATGAATTTTGTTTCTAAATGCTTGACGATATATCAACTTTGCATCAAACATAACAAAATTTGGAAGCGGGTATTATCATTTTCTGAAGAAAATCATATTTCTGTCAATAATCAGTGATAACAAGTAATTGAAAGTAAGAAGCATGAAAAAGCTACTGGTATGGAGTAGTTTCGTGGAATTAACAATTCTTCAAATATCACAGAAATTTTGAAAAATTAAAAAAAATATGAAAATCGTAAAGTTGCAATAGAAGGATCAAATTCGAGAAGCATGTGTAAAATTGAAATAGAAACAACTTTTTTGAGTAAACTTTTTCGATATTCGAACAAATAAGCCTACTTTCAGCGATCAATTTGAAAAAATGTCACTTTTGACATGTTACGAAAGTCACGTGACCCCGATTGAGTAGACATTTTTTATCTTTTTTGAAGCAAAACTCAACGTCCCACTCGAATTCCAAAATAAGACATTAATAAAAGTTTTTCCCATATGATGCCGACTTTATGAATGACACTGTAGAGGGGGGGGCGTTTAAAGTGAGACATGCTGTAGACGTAGGAGTTATTCACTTTTGCACTTTTGCCACTAGATGGCTCCTCCTACCCTCCGGTGCATTCGGGTTAGTTGTATTTTTCAATAATATTTGAATTTCAAATGTAGATCCCCGAAATAAGTTCAAGGCTTAATTATTTTTTTCGAAAAAAACTCATCACCCTGTAATGTGTTCATTTGAATTCCTCGCCTGCTTAGTTTTTTCGGTAAAAAATTTGATCACCCTATATCATTTTTTCCAATTTTATCTATCTTTCTCTGAAGTGCTTTTTGTTAATGACTGGAATGTTTGAAAATTTGTGGAGAAATAGTCTAAATAAAGAAAAATCTTGTGTTTGTTAATATTGACTAGTGTTCGGTATAAATCACGATTGAATTGTTGCACTGGGTGTTGTTTTTTACAAGCCATTCAAGTGAATAAGCCCTTCTGATTTTTTTTGGGAAGTCACTGGCGAATGAGAACTGATGAGTATTATTTATTTTTTCCTGTCTATGTTTGATTCCCTTCAATATCTTTCTTAGATTTTGAGATATTCATCAACATTTTGTCCAGCTAATTTTTAACCTAAAAATATTATTTGAACACCATTTTTGACCTATTTTTTCACTCACATTATTTCCACCTATTTTTAAGTGGTTCCAAAGAAGAAATCACTAGGAGCAGTTGAGTAGAACAAATTCAATAATGAAAAAAATCATATTTTAAAAACAAGTTTTATTGACACATTTCCACAATAATTGAATTGACACTGTAATATAAATTTATGATGAAACGTGGAAGAACGTCAGTATCAAAGTTGAATTAAAAAAATATAATACTCAATGAAAAATAAAGATAAAAACGAATGAAAAAATTACACTGAACAAACAGATCTATCTCATTCCAGATATAAATCACAAATATTCGTCCTAACTTCTAGCGTAATATTTTGAAAAATACGGTAAAATCCAGTCTCTTATGTCTCGATTTGGATGATACAAATAATCACTGATATACACTGTGTTCACTAAATATACACCTTGCCTCGCAAGGGGCACATAGTCCGTGATGTTTTCGATACTTTTTTGTTCCAAAAGGCAATGCGTAGCATGTACAGTGTCATCAAAAGGGGGCCTGAAAGAATCAACACAAAATAATATTCAGTTTCATTGAATAAAAAATCATTAGATCTATAAAAATATAAGTATTCCATTATCCACTGATCTCTGCAATATGAAATTATGGGCAATATCGACTATTTTTTCAAAAAATATGAAATAGAGAATTCTGATCTGGAAATGGCAACTTGTTGAATCTTCACCATTTGAGAAAAAGTATTGTTAAGTAACAATAAATTACAAGTCAATGGATTTGCGAAAGGCATTAGATGCAGTCAATTTTGAAATTCTATCAATGAAATTAACTGGAATAAGAGGAAAAGTTAACTCTTAGTTATCTAGTTGATAGAAAGCAGTTTGTGTATATGGGAGATTCATTTTCTTCAACAAGAAATATATCTTGTGGTGTGCCCCAGGGGTCAATCCTCGGACCTATTTTATTTCTGATTTATATACATTTTATCAAGTTTGAGATTACAAGGGAATTTATATGTCAGCTTCTAGCGTGGCAGAGTTATTGAATGAGATATATTTTACTAAACTAGGTGGATATGAATTGTATTAATACACCCATATTACTCAACACAATCCCACTGACAACCAATTGCCTGTCACTCCCCCACAACAAATACACATCAATTCCCTACATAAAAGATATCACACCCAAACTTGCTAGAATTTTTGTGAACATACCAAACATTAAAATAGCCAACAAAACAGATCTCACTATTAAATCCATATACACAAAAGTGAGAGATCAATTTACATTGACACCTCGAATGAATGTAGTATATAGTATTCCTTGCAAGAATTGTGATAAAAATATGTAGGTCAGACCTCAAGAGCCCTCAAGGCGAGAATTACTTCACACAAAAGTGATAGCAGATTACATCCAGAAAGATGTGCTCTAGCTGATCATGTTAACCAATTTGACCATAATATGGAATACAACGTAAAAATCTTAACAACTGAAAATAACTCGACCGAGAGGTCCTTTTTAGAAATGGCGTTTATCTATCAAGAAGTAAATAACATGAATAAAAAAACTTACATCAATTATCTAAGTGAATTTTATTCCTATTCATTGACATCAGACAACAACTCCCTTAGGGTTGATTCCAATGATAATTCAGAACTATAACATTTCAATCTCAAAATTCAAAATTTTGCAGTTGGTACAATATTTCGTACCACTGGATAGTACTTGTCACGTCAATACTGTCAATCAAAATTCTTAACCTAATTTCAATACTTTTTCATATTTCCGGCCACATGGTGACCATGAACAGCTAGCAATAAGTTGAAGTTTTCAACATGTTTGATTGTAACATCACTACTTTTGTAACTTTTTCAAGTGTTTTATAGAATAATATTAATACACAATTTTGTTCCTGGATGATGTATCACAATTCAATTTTCATTATTATTGTTAACATCATAGTAATCATCCTCACGTAGATGTAAGTACAACAATTTTTGACTATTTCATGCATTATATTACAGACAAGAATTATTGTAATCTTCCCTGATGATGGAATCAATTAAATTCCGAAAGCTTGAATAATCTTCAAAGAGTTCTCTTTTACTGGCTGCAAAACCTCACTATTTACTAGTCGATACCTAACTAGTCAGCAACGACTACCCTTCCACTTATATATAAACATATATTTTTCCATTATTTTATTTGGTTGTTCAAGTATATTCGTACCGCTTGTATTTTTTGACTTGTCTCATGTTGTGTAAATGACCTGAATATATTAATAAACTATCAATCTATCTATCTAATTTTCGAGTTTGTTTATTGTCTCACTCACTTGATGTCTATGACGACTCCGCCACCTGCTTCTATCACTCTAACTATCGGTTCCCACTTGTTGGCCACGACGATGGCCCGCATGTCGTTGAACGCTCCGTAACCTCGTTTCGAGATCTCTTTCCGCCACCAGTGCATCTTTTGCATTTTCGTTTCAGCGTCAACGTCCTTGGGCAATTCGAATTTGCCCAAAGATAGAGGATTGCCGAATTCGAAGTCTTCTTCCTACGGAAGTGGGGAGAGAGTTGTGTTTTTCTATCAATAAAGTTCTCCAATGTACTTGACAATAGTAAACTAAGACAGCTTCACCATGAGTATGGGAAAATACAAGCTTTACTCTTAACTGGAACGCAACCCAGTGTTCTATCAAGGAAGCGAGGGCGCGTTTTCACAGTCTCACTGACTGACAGACTCACTGACTCACTGATAGACTGACTGATTCACTGACAGACTGACTGACTGACACCGGGCCCCCGCTTAACCGCTAGAACACTGGCCCTCGTTCCAGTTAAGAGTAAAGCGTGTATTTCCCTATACTTATGGTGAGGCTGTCTTATTTCAACTCCTGCAAATTCGAAGTCTTCTTCCTACGGAAGTGGAGAGATAGTTGTTTCTCTATCAATAAAGTTCTTCAATGTACTTGACAGTAGTAAACTAAGACAGCTTCACCATGAGTATGGGGAAATACACGCTTTACTCTTAACTGGAACACGGCCCAGTGTTCTAGCGGGGAAACGGAGGCACGTTTTCAGTCAGTCAGTCAGTCAGTCTGACTGACTTGACTCACTGACAGACTGGCAGGATCGCCATGTAATGTAGCAATCGGAATAAGGGTAGATAATTAAAACTCGTCACATTTTTTGCACCCAATATAATAGCATTTAGTCAGTGTGCCATACACCACAGTAGCTATACGTAATCTGTCCTACATAATTACCTTCTACCTGTTCAGTAATGAATATGCTGAGTCGATTGAATATGTTATTAAACAATATTAATTATTGACCTGATTGCAGTACAACTGACTGACTGACTGACTCACTGACAGACTGACTGACTGACTGACACCGGGCCCCCGCTTCACCGCTAGAACACTGGGCCTCGTTCCAGTTAAGAGTAAAGCGAGCTTATTTCCCTATACTTATGGTCAGGCTGTCTTGGTTCAACTCCTGTTGTGATATAACACTACATAACGATGAACTAGACCTCAATGATTCACCGCTGTTGAATTTGTTTTCTTAGTAGATAATATGAACTATCATCCCTTTTATGTTTAGCCTCTAAGTGTTATTTAAGTCCACTATCCAATGCGAATTTGATCATTATGGGTTCTACTTGATGCAATTGGTTGCCTTGGTGTCTAACCCTACCATAACGTAAAATATTTCACGCCACAGTCCCCTCTCTTGGAACTGCTGAAATGAAGAGCTACCAGTGTTCCTTGATATAACTTACTTTCAATTCTTCACACGCGTTTTTATTTTTCTCCTTGTTTATCTTCTGTTACAGCTGGTGTAGTGGTGAAATAAATTGCTTAGTTCTTCTACTTTGTATTCTTTCATATCTAGTTCATTTTCCGTGTTGAAATATCGACATATTCATGAGTAATAAGAAGATATGATATGGGTGGTACCCTATCCTACCTGTCATCAAAAGTTTGTTCTTATGGTTTCGGTAAAGTTATTATATCCAAAAATATGTAATTTTGCATTATGCAAGACATGCTTTGAGCCATTTCACTCAAGGTAGTTTTGAATATATACAGTGTGACCCACTTCTAATGGAACCACTCCTGTATCTTACGTAATCGTTGGGTAAGGATCCTGAAATTTGCTGGAGCGAGAGATATATCAAAAATGCACTCTATGACCAAGTGAGGTCATCTTCAGTGATATACACTGCTCGCCAACAGCCATGAAACCACCCCAATTTCCGGAAAATGATATTAGGAGTCAAAATAGGTTGAAAATCACGTCGGATTCGGAATCAGGACGCCCAAGTTACTAACTATTCAAAGTTTTTCTAGAAGATTTTCAGTTCAGTAAAATTGAAATTTGTCTCACTTCTCATGGAAGCACCCCCGTATCTCACGTAATTATTGAGGTAGGGTTCTGAAATTTGCCGGAGGAAGAGAAAGTCCAAAGATAAAGTCAATTACGTGAGATACGGGGGTGCTTCCATAAAAAATACGACAAAATTTCATTTTTCCGAACTGAAAATTTTCCAGGAAAAATTTGAATAGTTAGTAAATTGGGCGTCCTGATTCCAAATCTGAAGTGATTTTCGACCTATTTTGACTCCTAATATCATTTTCCGGAAATTGGGGTAGTTTCATGGCTGTTGGCGAGCAGTGTATATCACTGAAGATGACCCCACTTGGTTATAGAATGCATTTTTGGTATATCTCACGCTCCAGCAAATTTCAGGATCCTTACCCAACGATTACGTAAGATACAGGGGTGGTTCAATTTTAAATGGGTCACACTGTATATGCATGTTGTTTCAAAATATTTTTTATTATCATCAAGATAAGTGTTGTATACTGAATAAAGCTTCATATTCAAAAAGGGGAGGATGAATTATCCGAATTTCGTTGTTGTCCTAAATGAAAATTGCTAACCATATATACCACCATTCCTCTGTTTTTTTGCGACATTGATATTTTTGAATTCTTTGAAATAAAATTGAAAATGCAAAAAAATGCCACTTAGAGGGTGAATCCAGTAGGTATCCCGAATTTTAAAGTAGATTATTGTGGATACTCTCCGAAAATTAAGGCTTAGCCCCTTTCCCCAGGTAATTTTAATCCTTCAATGTAACTTTAGTTTATCGGACGAGTATTTCACCTGAAAAGAAGCTACTGCGTTAGCGAAACACGTATAGTAAGGAATTTTGTGGAAATCTTATCTTTTGAGAAGTTTTTCACATTTACTATGGATTTTCATCAAGTAACGGCCGATTTTTGCATATCACAACACAGAACACAAACCAACAACTCAATGCACTGTTGCATCATTGAATAGATGGTATTTATTTCGTCTACATTTTGAGTAGTTTTGTCTTCATGAACCACTATTTAAGAGAATGAAAAAAAAAACGTAATAAAATACCAGTTCACGAATTGAAAAAAAGAGTACGTAATAGCCTTGATTATATACACTAGTGAATACTCAAAGGTAATAGTAGGTTTTTAATGTTATAGTTATAGACCCTGAAACTCTGTAATTTTCGAGTTTTCTCTGGACACAAAATATTTTCTCTGGACACAAAATATATCTTCTTACGTTCAACAACCGTCCTGCTTCGTAGGATTTTTCCAAATAGGAAGTGTGGAGGATCCATTTCCCAGCAGCCATGCAAGCCAGAGACTTTTCATTCCGGGCTGGTTTTGGACAAAGCAAATGTGTGCAAGAAGGGTCGTAGTTTTTTAGGTTAGAATACATCGCCCCTAGACCTTCCAGTTGTTTCACCATCTGAATTCGGACTTGGTCATCCGCTATTCCGGATATTGCGAATATTTTGCTTTGTTTTTGGGGCACCTGAAAATGTTTTTTCAATAAATTTCATACAATTTCAAAAAAATTCCTCCAGAATCATGAAACGAAGTAAATTGTAGTAATCACGGAAAAACAAATGTAGGACAAACTAGAAGACTAAGTGCAACTAGGTTCAAGGAACATCTAGCGTATTCGACGTATGTTTGATTGAATAATTCAAGCCCAGTATTCGACATCGCGAATATTCAAGTGATTATAAGGTCTCACCTCTTGTTCTCTGAAATCCCATCCTACAGTACAAGGTTGTGAATCTTTGAATTCCGATGTTCCAGCTAAAAAAAACATATGTCAATATCATAATGAGAGAAATGACTATATCTCAGGTAATGTTAGTGATATCATCATTTCATAGTAACCTGCTACGGGAATTGTAGACTGAAAATTCCTGCTATGCCTTTTTCCACTTCCACTGGCAGTCAACATTTCTTCTAATTGCTGCAGTCTACTGGCAAAATTTTGATTTTCTGGGGTTACGTTCATTGAAGGCTGAAATATACACACTTGTGAATCGGAGAATTTGAGAATCAAATTAATGAAATCGTCGTTTTAGAAGAAAATGTCACAAGCCTGAACATGTAAATAGATAATTAATTTTTATCATTATATGTAATATTTGAAAATTTTATTGTGTTTAGACATATTCCTATTAAAAAGACGATTTTGATTCCTTAATATCGATTTACTTCTGTAACAGAATCTTCGCTTTCCATATTTTCGACTTCCTGTTGAGATTGAGTTCGTGGTTCGTCGAAATTCAAATATTCAGCCGATCTTTTCAATGCATTATCCCAAATTCGACGTTTGATTTCCGATATAGGCTAAAAATAAACTCCCATCAAATTTTCAAACAAATCAAGTTTTAATAAGAATAAAGTCAATCATAAGGATTCATTTTTAAGTTTGATGAATTTTGAAGTATTACTGTATACAGGGTGGGCCACCAGTAACGCCTCGGTCTCTAGAAGGCTAACCACTTATCTTCTTGGAATTCTTCCTCTCTAGGAAGTTGCATGTCAACATAGGCTACAATTTAAAATTATTTCGAAACATACAGGATGTCCCCAAAAATCACAAAATACTGAAGTTGAACTTTTTTCAATCGAACACCCTATATATTATTTCATTTTGAGATTCTCCCTGGTGAGCTGATATCAACAATCCATCATACTTGGGGTCTAGCAGTCATAATTACTGAGATATAGGGTGTGAGAAATCGAGATTTTCCAAGTTCAAGAAGTTTTTGTGTCTAAACCATTCATAATTGGTCAAAACGGCTCCTTATCTCAACTTTTGATCAACTATCTACTGACATTTAATTGAAACAAATACAGGGTGGTGCAGAATTCAGAATCTTGATCACCCGGTATATGTCCCAATTAAATATCAGTAGATAGTTAATCAAAAGTTGAGATAGGGACATGTAAGCCGTTTTGACCAATTATGAATAGTTTCGACACAAAGTTTTTGAACTTGGAAAATCTCGATTTTTCACACCCTATATTTCAGTAATTATAACTACTAGACCCAAGTATGATGGGTCGTTGAAATCAGCTCATCAGGGAGAATCTCAAAATGAAATAATATATAGGGTGTTCGATAGAAAAAAGTTTAACTTCAGTGTTTTATGGTTTTTGGGGACAACCTGTATGTTTCGAAATAATTTTAAATGGTAGCCTATGTTGACATGCAACTTCCTAGAGAGGAAGAATTCCAAGAAGATAACTGGTTAGCCTTCTAGAGACCGAAGCGTTACTGGTGGCCCACCCTGTATAAACCGGGTGCTCGCATTCTTATATCACCCTGTATATCGATCCTTGCGGTACCCTATTATTTGCACTAGTGTACAGAATAACATTATTCAAACATAATTCCTGCTTCCTGTTATCAAAAAATTCTTCAACATTGTTTCTGACTTACTTACCGTACTTGCATTGCTTGTCGTAGTAGGCCTGTCAGGGAATTGTCGTAACCAATATTCCAATTGTTTTTTCAAGGATGCCGAAGGATTAGGCGTTAAACACGCCCCCAAAGGAGTTTCCGGAGTTTTTATGTTTTTCCAAGGAGGTGGTAAACTGCATTGACTGCTGTCTTCGGTATTAGAGGGATCCATCACGTTAAGTTTACTTTCTCTGAAGTTTTTCATTATTTTGTTCAGAGGAGTTACTTGACTGAAAGGTTTTTCTAAAACGACAACAAATTTATTGGATGTTTTGTATATTTCAACATTTCGTTTTAGCTTTTTTATGTTCTGGCTCCCACGAAAAGGGATATCCTATAATGTTAATAATAAGGTAGGAATTGGTGTTCTCAAATTTCTGGAGGTTATATGCATCGGGGAACACCTCCCTTGGCAATGTGTCCCAGAGCCTCGCTCTTCGTAGGATTAACGAGTCTTTAGAAAGAGACGTTCTGCAGGTCTCCAAAGTGACCACGAAGGGGTGCGAAGCCTCAACTCGACGGGTTGATCTCGCGGGGACTGCCAAGGAAGGAACAATGGGGAAGACCACTGATTTTTTAAAACGACATTATCGTGAACTCTATACTGAAAAATTATCAGTGAATTAATTTTGAATTTTTTCATTCATGCTAAGACGATGAAACAAATAGATTAGTATATATCCATTTCAAAACACACAATTCCTGCGCCATTTGAAATTTCATCAATTCATTGGTGTGACTGGTGCGACGTCTCATTCCCAACACGCCTATCGTCCTTGAACTGACCAATCACACTGCAACACTGCAGAATGACGAGGTATCAGAGAGAGATAGCTACAGTTCGGGACTAATACGTCACGACTCCACCATCATATTTGGCTGTTTGAAATATCGAATGAAATATGCTGATTTCAAAACGATATAGATTCGATTCCCTTCAACTTCAACTCATAATATTGATTGTACATAAAATGTAAATCATGATTCGTCGATTGAAAGAGGTTTGCACGGATTTCTTCCCTCAGTGGTCTTCCCCATTGTTGATATTTCAGAAGAGCATCGTCCATGAAAATATCTATAAAATAGAGCCAGATCGACAACTTTTCTACGGTGTTCCAGAGAAGTGAGTGAGTTTGTGAGCGAGGCATCACCCACGAGACGAATTGCCCTTTTTTTGGACAGAATCCAACAGTTTCAGGGTATGTTTGGGTGCTGCACTCCAAACATGGGAACAGTATTCCAGGACAGGTCGGATCTGTGCCTTATAGATCATAAGCAGCTGATGGGAAGTGATATAGCTCCTGGCCCGAAACAGAAAACCAAGTTTTTGGGATGCACTTTTAGCAATTGATGTCACGTGATTTTCCCAAGAAAGGTTATTGCTGAAAGTAATACAAAGGCAAAGACAAGCTTATATTGGGCACAGTGAGATCGGCTTTTCTAGAGAAAATGCATGCTTGTATTTCGTTTGCATTGAAATCTACCAAGTTATTGGGATCCGCATTCGAGAATTGTTGCCAAGTCCATGTTATATGTCCAACAAATCGTTGATATGGAGTAGAAATAGTGTTGGTGCTAGAATTGAACCTTGCGGAACACCAGCATTTATGATAAGAGAGTCAGATGAAACTCCGTCGACCACTACATGGAGAGACCTGTTTGAGAGAAAACTGGCTAGCAGAGAACATAGCTGGGGAGGCAAGCCATAAGATGGAAGCTTGGCGAGGAGTCCGTGGTGCCAGAATCGATCGAATGCCTTGGAGATATCAAGTGCCACGGCTAAGGTTTCACCAAATTCTTCAATAGATTGCTGCCATATATGTGAGACGTAAGCGAGCAGGTCACCAGTGGATCTCTGATGACGGAAGCCATATTGCCTATCGTTGATAATACCTGAATGTTCCAGGTATTTCATGAGCTCGATGTTGATAGCTTTCTCCATGATCTTCGGAATAATAGATAGCAGTGCGATCGGTCTGTAGTTGCTAGGTAGGGTCTTTATGCCTTGAAAAATTACCATATTTTTTATGGAAGCAATGTGATAATGTAAAAATGGCAACATCTTTCAGTTTTATAGTAGTTCCCGGATCAACCATAGATTTTGTAACGATTGAAAAATCGAAATTGAGATCATCAGTATAAAGATTGTAAATAAAAAAAGCTGTCGACCAGTTCACTTTCCATTCAGTTCACACAATAATCGACACTCACCTGCACTATCGAAACCTCTCTTGAAAACAGGAGTGACATGGTTGACAGGTGTCAACACTCTGGAATGTCTGCTACTGGGTCCAGGACTTGCAACAGGTGTTGCAGTCTTGAGGGAACTAACAGGTGTTTTGTTGAGTTCGGTAACGGTGTTTTCAGGCATCCTTTCAGGTGCTGCATCAAAGCACAATACTCAGAGAAATGAAGTGAGATCATTGATCATTTACACTAACAAAATGATCCACCTCCATCCTCCATTTCGATTTATAAAAAAGGTTCGGCAGAGAAACTATTTAATTACCGGCCTCTTTCCCTGGTACCGATATTTTCAAAGATATTTGAAGCACTTCTTAAATCGCAAATAACCGAATATTTTGAAACAAATCACCTATTCAATAAATGCCAATTAGGTTTTCGTAAGAATGTCTCAACAACTCTCGCGATAAACAAACTTGTGCAAATCATAAATAATGGTGTCCATGCTGACTTTCATGGCCTAACTAAAGCATTCGATTGCGTTCAGCATGATTTACTACTGTTGAAACTAAAGTAGTATAACTTTAGCTCAAATAGTATCAACCCAATGTCATCTTACCTATCTGACAGGGAACAATATGTCACACATAACAGTTATGTCTCTAGTAAAGTCTGGATGAAACATGGGGTGCCACAAGGCTCAATCTTGGGCCCTACTCTTTTCCTAATATATGTAAATGATCTATCCCATCATATTAGCAATAACAAAGTCATACTTTCTGCTGACGATACCACAACAATCAAACAACCTAGATACTTTTAGAGGTGATGTGAAAACCCAGAATGAGAAAATTCAAAACTGGTTTACAGCAAACAAGCTGACTTTAAACGACGACAAAACTAAATCGCTGCTTTTTACCTTACCGGTGAAATTCTTAGGTGTTTATATTGACCCTCTTTTGACATGGGAAACTCATGCAAACAAATTGACCAAGAAACTCTCTTCCATTACCTATATGATTAGGAATTTAAATAATAACGTATCTGTGGATATTCTCATGACAGCCTACTTCGCTTACTTCCATCCGAATATGACATAAGCTCTTCTAAGCTGGGGTCACTCATGCCAACTATCTAAGGTCTTCGGAATTCAAAGACGCTGTGTGAGAGTTATCTCAGGACTGTCTTACAGAGACTGTTGTAAGTCAAAATTCAAAGAATTGTGTATACTCACAGCTCCTTGTGCCTACATCCTCGAATGTGTTGCCTATGTCAAAAAAAATTTGGATGCATATAGTACAGCTGGAGATTCCTACGGGTACGACACACGTAACAGAGGTAAATTGTTACCTAAATATCATCGCCTTGAAAAGACCAGAGACGGTTACTTCGGTCCCAAAATGTACAATGTACTCCCAGATGAACTCAAAGATGTTAATTTCAATTTGAATTGTTTTACTAAAATCTTTAAAAATTATGTTTTAACAAAAGCATTTTACTCAATTAATTATAAAATATCTCACATACAATTTCAATGATTTGGTATTATAAAAATAGAACTGATCAAGTGAACAAGACCTAGGTTTTTTTTTAATTATTTTAACATGTTGTACATGATTTCGATAGTCTTATATATTTGTATATTGTCCAGCTAAATGTATGTAAGTGTATTGACTTTTTTATGACTTGTGTAAGTACTTAAATGTATATCAACACCAATAAATATATCTATCTATCTATCTATATATCTATCTATCATGTGGAATGTTGAAGCCAAATTTGACCTCAGTTCTTATTAGTTCTCAGCTAGTTCGTAGGCGGCGCTAGCGAAACTCCGCAAAATATCCGTCTTTCTGATGATTGATATTCTGAATTTCAAATTAATAAAAATACATTAACTCGGCTCTGATGCGACCTTCCATCTTACATAAAAACATCTAAAAAAACTTCTAATATATTCTGCATTATCGATCTCCACCCTTCACTACTCAACAAAAAGTCGTTAACCTTGTCGCTCATAGATACCGCTGCCTACTGAATAGAATTTCTGGCTTCATTACTCATAAGGATGCTTCAGATTGTTAGTGTAGTGTGATAATCAAGGATCGAGGTTAGGAATTTATTATGTATTTCTCATTTCTCACCTTTGGAATCGCCGATCAAAAAATCCCCTTCGTAAGCCTTTTTCCCCGTTTCGGCGCACTTGAGCAGCCAATCCTTGCTGACCACCGGCAGGCCCCATTTGAGGCTAGCCTCGTACTTTTTGCCGGTAGCCTCCGAGCTCACCAGGTGAGTCGAGGCTACCACTTTTTTCGCTACGTTTCTCACTCGGGCGAATTGTTCTTGGGACAGGCCACCTAACGATAGAATAAAACTTCTATTATGAGAAAATGTCAGGAATCTAGCGATTTTTGCATTGATGAAATGGTTTGGCGAAGATATTTTGATCATGTGAATCCATGACAAAAACGAAAATTGCATAAAAAACGAAAGTAGACTATCAAGAAGGTCACTAGATCGCGAAGAAGTCGCTGATAACCAGTGACTTCTGGCGACTTTTCAGCTCATCACCCAATATGCTCTATTTTAATCATCTTTCTCTCTATCTCTCTTTCTCCTCTCTTTCTCATTGCGTTTCAGGGTATGTTTGGGTGCTGCACTCCAAATAAGAGAACAGTATTCGAGGACAGGTCGGATCTGTGCCTTATAGATAATAAACAGCTGACTGGAAGTGATGTAGCTCCTAACCCGAAACAGAAAACCAAGTTTCTGGGATGCACTTACAGCAATTGATCTCACGTGATTTTCCCAAGAAAGGTTATTGCTGATAGTGATACCAAGCATCAAAATGGATGTCTTCAAAGGTATGGTTACTCCTGACAAGCTTATGTGGGCACAGTGAGATCGGCTTTTCTAGAGAAAAGGCATGCTTATTTTTTGTTTGCAGCCCTGGAAGAGAAGGCGGTATGGAGGGTACTATCATCCGCGAAGCTGTGTACTGGACATGAAGTTGCTTCCAACAAATCGTTGATATGGAGTAGAAATAGTGTTGGTGCTAGAATTGATCCTTTGCGTAACACCAGCTTTATGATAAGAGAGTCAGATGAAACTCCGTCGACCACTACATGGAGAGACCTGTTTGAGAGAAAACTAGCTAGCAGAGAACATAGCTGGGGAGGCAAGCCATAAGATGGAAGCTTGGCGAGGAGTCCGTGGTGCCAGACTCGATCGAATGCCTTGAAAATATCAAGTCCCACGGCTAAGGTTTCACCATATTTTTCAATAGATTGCTGCTATATATATATGAGACGCAATTCATTATTCAATTAAAGTATATCAATCAAATTATATATATATATAAGTAATGTAATTCCACATCAAAGTCCTGAAATTCAATCAAAACCAATGGGGTAGATCACTAGAGTCCGACCACGTTTACTTTGGGACAGCATGTGACGCAACGCATATGCATATTCAATGCATACGCGACCACGTGCTGTCCAAAAGTTATCGTGGTCGGACTCTACCCCACGCGGTACACGATTGCGTTTTTATTGGCGTGGTCCCTCGCGGGTTAAGCAACTTGGCTTTTCTATCCATGGAAAAGTCCATAGCCCGAAATTTGAACTTTTATGATGTCATTAACACTTTTGCTGAACAGAAAGCCCGAAGATAGGAATTTTAATAATTAAAATTATGTACTTAAGCTACAAATACAACTTTAAATAATTAAGTACCTCTTTAAAGCGGATTTATGCACACTGCTTTACTTATACGTGTCTCGCTGGTTGCATGCAGTTGCATGTATTATGTTCTCAATTCCCATTCCTTTCGAATTATTTTGTAGGTTAGTAGGAATTGCAGGTATGTTAATGTAATTTTCGGAGTTCGTAGAAAAATCATAGTATGTAACGCGTTTATAAACTCTTCTAGAACCTCGTTTATTAAACACTCGCTCCTCTCTGTTCGGCTCGTGCTTAAACTACTCGTTACTAAAAGGACGTTTATAACACTTGTTACATAACATACTATTATCTTTCATTAACTATTCGCCAAAATATGACCAACTTTTATCTCTTAACGACAAATACAAATAAAACTGTGACTTGCTCAGGCGCGATTCTGTCATAAGTCAGACAAACAATTTCTTATTTTTCCAAAATATGGTTGAAAATTCTGAAAATTCCAGTCGTATATTCAGACTAGAGTCTGAAAACAATATGAATGAATAACTCTCATTTTAATTATGTGATCACTGAATGTTATAACACAAATATTTTCATCGGGCTAAGTCGTCTCGATGGTAACGGCTAAGTACGCTGAGGACTATGTTTTGATCAAGAGGAATAGTTTAAAATTAACCCATTAACGCCTACCGTCCTTTCAAAAGGACTTCAAAACGAAACCTGTATTTTTCTGATTCAGATGACGGTTTGAAGATGTCGCCAGTGTCATATTATATTTTGTTGACATCTTAAACAAGGTCAATCGCGATCGTTAGGATTTTGTCAAGTTTTGGATCGATAGTGACGGTTTTTCAATCATGTCCCAATTGAAGAGAATCACAGCCTTGATGAGGCTATGATACCGTATTTTTTGGCCTATCATAGTAATAAGTTTCTAAAAGTTTCAAGTATTTTGCTGAGCATTTTGTATGATATAATATAAACATATTATTGAATCTTCGATCAGTTTTCTAATAGTTGCCCTTTATCCTACCGTCCTTTCAAAGGAACAGCGAGATCGAAATTTTTTTTATAATTTTTCCTCGACTTATGGGACCTTCTATCAACTGTTTTTGATAAAAAAATATACAAAATCGGAAAAAGTAGTTTCAGGGTCAAATGGGTTAAAAAAGGTGATGCATAAAGGTCCATAAAAGCCTATTTTACGCCCTTGATACATAAATAACTATTTTCTTCTTTCCCAATCAGCACCAGACATCTTAAAGACGTACATTTTACGACTTACTTACGTCTTTACGTCCAGGGACGTATAAAGTACGTCTTTAAGATGTAAATCCATGTACATCTTAAAGACGTACACGAATTTACGTCTTTAAGACGTACATTTTAGGTCGTATCCACGTCGTTCCTCCCATGTTGTATAAAAGACGTCTTAAAGACGTACATTCCAGTACGTCAATTCGACTTATAGAACAATAATGTAAGTTATTTTCTGAAGAAAAACAAAATGTCATCTCTTCACGTTTTTTATTTTAAATTGTTCAGTTTTTTTTATTTTCAACAAAAGTGATGTTTTTGAATTTTTTCGTCCGACATTTTGGAGCCTTCGTGTTAGATTCTCGAATTTTTACCAAAAAAATCATATTCTCCGACCCCAAAAGTCCCATAGTAATCAATTTTGAATGAAATCGGACTATAATCACAAAACTCGTCCGCCATTTTGAAGCCGACATCTTGGATTTTTTATTTTCGACAAAAGGAATTATAATCTCTGATCCCGAAATCCTTCAGATGCCAATTTTGAATCAGATCAGACCATAATCAGAAAACCATATGCCACATCGTCCGCCATATCGGATCCGCCATTCTGTTTTTTCCATTCAATAATAATATCACAACGAATTGTCACCGGAATAATATTTACTTGCCAAATTTCAAATCAATCGGACGATTTAAAGTGAGTCAAATTTAACTTGCACGTTTTGATTACAAAACAGACACAAGGACATGTTAAACTAAGTAAAAGCTTGTTATGTGATATAATATAGAACAAACAGAGTAACAGAAGAAGTGAATATGGTATAATCATCGAAGTCAAGCAACAAAGAGCGCGGTTAGTACTTGAATGGGTGACCGCTTGTTTCTACCGTTTGATGAAGTCGTTTGTTTCCCTTTTTTTTTGCTTGTCTGCACTTGTTGCTAACTTCAGTGCACAGGTGAAAATCAACTGAAACTATGTGATTTTTCCGTAATTTGAAAGATCAATTTGAGGTCATGGACCAAAAACACCTAAAAAAGACGTCTTAAAGACGTACATATCGGTGGAAAATGTACGTTTTAAAGACGTCTTAAAGACGTCTCTTGGGCGTAATATGTACGTCTTTAAGACGTACTTATGTCCCGACATGTACGTCTTAAAGACGCCTTTAAGACGTACTTTGGCTGATTGATAGTTCTGAAATAAGAATAAACTTTAATGACAGTTAATGGAAGCAACAGATTAATGAAAAAGCGGTATAAAATGAAAACTACTATCATTGTTAATCTAGTTTCTTTATATTGGAGGAGGCTCATCCGAACAATTTGCCACGGGTCTCGAATGATATAGTTACGCCACTGGAGTGATACTATATAAAGTGGCTATATTCCGAATTCAACTGACAGTACTGAATCTGCCGATTTTTCGTTCCGAAATCAAAAGAATTCACTGAAAGTGACAGATACTTGTGAGCAGACATACTATTCATTCCAAATATTGCAAATATTCTCTTACCTAGAGCTTCGATCAGGTTCTTGAGGAACACCCGTTCCGTGCCGCCATAGCTACTGATGGTGATGACGCAATTCTCCAGCGGGTTCGTGTCGGGTACATCGAACGGCCGATGGTAGTAGGCGATGTCGGTGAGCAATTCTTCTTCTCTCATGCACTCGCTGATGAAGAGATCGTTGACGATTTCGGTGACAGTGTGACGTACCTCGGTTTTGTTGAATATCGGCACCACCGCATAATCCGGTATGCCCTTGAACGATTTCGGCACCAATTCACCGCAGAATCCTAATTTGAATTTGCCATTTGATAACTAACACCCTGTATGGGGTATCGTGCTCGAATTTTGAATGGGGGGATTTCAACTATGTTCAATTCGAATAGACTACCCAATTTTTCTAGAAAAAGATTCCTAATAGTCGCTTTTGAAATTTAGTAGAATAGTATAGAAGAGCTCGTTGGGTCATTATACAGACTGTCCAAGATAAGGTTGCACAGCATGGGGATCTCGGAAATAAACTGGGCGTCAATTGAAACGTTAATGGTGGAATTTGGCATCCAGTTTGACTTCTCGTAATTTCTAAAATATTGAACGAATTTTGAATTGCCGCCCAGATTCTGAATGCCTTTTTCATCGTCTTTCGAACCGTCCCTTACAGCTTCTTCTAAATCGATCAGGATCCATGATACAGGGTGAAACAAAGTTACGTGCATTTTGAAAAAATTTTCTCCGCCACCCCATTTTGTCGGAAGACCACGATGCTCATATTTTATTCAGGCATTTCATTAATAGCAACCATACCTCGAGATGTTTTCGAGTTTTTGCCAAAAACTACTGTGGTTTCCGAAAAAAAAAAATTTAGCATTTTTTTTTTAATGGACTAATTACCTGTATCCTCAGAACGATGAATCAGTCTCTTTATTGTCATGACTGACTTATTGAAAATGGTACTTAAATGAGTTTGGGTATATCCTAATCGTCGTAACCTGGAATAATAATTATCTGTACTGAATTATAGTTAATATCACTATAGTGATCTTATTAATGATATTTTCCATTTTGACCCGATTTGAATGAGGCATCTTTAAATTTTTTAGGACCCGAATTACACTGACGTTTTCATGAAAATTGGCAATTGATATAACCTCTATGCATACCTATATTGTTTCAACAATACGCTGTTATAGAAACAAGGTATCGTTGTTTGTATTTGTTGATGAGATGTGTTGATTTACTGCTCACTAAGGTAGAAAACTTTTATCATAGACTGCGAAGTAATAAATTATTGATTGTTTTTGAGTAACCTGGTATACATATCTGCTCCAACGATTTCCTGAAATGCATAAAAGCATCCATTCATGGAACTTCTCTAAAATTAGTCCATTAAAAAAAATGCAGAAATTTTTTTTTTTCGGAAACCACAGAAGTTTTTGGCTGAAACTCGAAAACGTCCCGAGGTATGGTTGCTATTTATGAAATGCCCGAATAAAATATGAGCATCGTGGTCTTCTGACAAAATGGGGGGGCGGAGAAATTTTTTTCAAAATGCACGAAACTTTGTTTCACCCTGTATCACGGGTCCAGATCAATTTAGAAGAACCTGTACGGAACGGTTCGAAAGACGATGAAAAAGGCATTCAGAATCTGGGCGGCAATTCAAAATTCGTTCAATATTTTAGAAATTACGAGAAGTCAAACTTGATGCCAAATTTCACTATTAACGTTTCAATTGACGCCCAGTTTAGTAGGAGATACGAAATCGGTTAAATGGGGAAAAAGTTGCGCATTCGGAGGCTCATACCAACAGCCTTCGAAAATTTTCAAAATTGTTTGTTGTTTTTCAGTTATATCGAAAAAAGTGAATTTTTGGAATATCTATTTAATTTTTTTTCCGTTATTATTTGGGATACAGAAAAACTAATAATACTTTTTCATAGCAACTTTTCATGCCGTTGGACGTGGTGATACCAATTTTTTTATGCGACTTCGTCTTCATAGAACCATCATCAACTTTTGTTTTTTAAATACGGTCCTCATAATTTTTTCACATATTCTGGAAGATTTTTTCATTCTGAATTCAACCATACAAGGTGATTTGAATGTGTTTCGACCTATTTCTATCCATCATCAATGTTTTTTCGAAATTCCAAAGGCAAAGTTTCATCAGTCCCACTTATTTCTGATCACTAAGTGTCAAACATTGATAGATTATTTATATACTGAAAAGTGAATTGAATATTTCAATAAACAATTCAATGCAGTGCTTCAAATTGTTAATGAATTCTCACATGAATTACTTTAATAGCTTAACTTTGATAATGCCAACAGAAACATTCACAACAAATGTTCAAAATGATAACCATTATTCTCTAAACAAAGTTATCCATAGTTGTTTTCAAGACATTACTAAACATTTCTGGGGTTATTCTATTGAATGCTTCGATGACACTGTCCCGTAGTTCTTCATTATCAAAGTTATTGCGTTAACAAAGATTTTGATATATCCCCAAAAAAAATCCAGCGGTGTCAAATCAGGCGACCGCGACGGCCAAGGGACTGTAGAATGAGTACCAATCCATTTTTCTCAATAAAAACGCACGAACTTCTCTGGAATTATGTACCGGAGCGCCATCTTGTTGAAACCAACAATTCTGAACTTCTGCCATCGGTAAATTATCCAGAGCTTCCTCAAGATGATTCTCATAACGTTCGGAAGTCAATGTTTCATGGTAAATAAAAGGACCAAATATTGCAACCCACATATTAAAGCCGAAACGGTGTTGGTGTTTTGTATAAGTGTTCATGTTCTTGTGACCGATAATATGTATTTTTTCTATTGAAGATACCATTATAGCGGGAAAGATCGCGAAAAGCACTACTTTGTGCAGGCTAGTAGGAAATTGTATAGTTTATCTAATAAGTGAGGAAAGAGATAATTTTTATCACGCGATTGCAGATGGCCGAACGACGCACTTTACGCACGTGTTAGGTACACTATTTTTTCTACTAGCGTGCCGACAAAATCCAAATACCTCTTCTCCGCACTAATTTCAATAGAAAGTTTTATCCGCACTAGTGCGGAAAATTGACCCTTTCAACACTAAAATGAGTGCGGAAAAGTGGACTTTCCTGCACGCTAGTTGAAAAATATTGTTTTTCTACAAACGCTTAACAAAGTAGCCTTTGACGCTTTCAAATTCCAGCACGAAGTTGACGTTTTCCCAGAAATGTCATTCTTTGACAGCATTTGCGCTCGTGAGCGGAAATATTGAAAAAACGCTCGCACATTTCTGTAACTGTATCTATTCTTGAAAACCCCCAATTTTTTCATGATGGAAAATAGTGACAGTGAATCATCAAACACACTTCCAGATGATATAGTAGAAAGCGCAAGAGTTTGAATCTCTTACCGGAGAAATCAAGGAAGAAATATGAATTACAATATGATACATTCATAAATTGGTGCCATTCCGAGATGGTGAATATGTATTCAGAAAACGTTTTACTGGCTTATTTTGGTGAAAAATCAAAGACTTTGAAGTCATCAACTCATTGGTACGTATACATGCTTGAATGTTGAAGATAATATCGGAATCAATATAAGTATCTGAAATTTATCGCATTTCTCAAGAAACAATCTATTGGATATAAAGAGAAAAATCCAAAACATTCACCGCTGAAGATATATACCAACAAATTTCTACAATAAGCTCCCGATGAAGCATATCTGTTGAAAACGATGAATTATACTTTATATTTTAACTCTTTGTTGTCATCAGAAAGACAGTGTATCTTTATTTTATCGCATCAATGAGTAATGTTCAATTTGATTGCAGAGTTTATCGTACTATGGCTCAGAGGTCTGAAGCTCAGGTTGCCACGCTGGTGGTCCAGTTTCAATTCTCGGTAGGGCCGACATTTTTTTTCTGGATTGTCAGTAATTTCAATTTTTCTTTTTTGTTTTCTTTGGACATATAGGATAATATGGATAAGAACTTTTTCAACTATGTCAATCGCTTATACTTTCAGGGTAGTTATTTCCAAAAGCTGCGTTAGTAAAAAAAATCTTGTGTGTATTTCGAGCACAAAGTGTTATTGCCGCTCTCCAAAGATTACCGCGCTCCACTCCGCATCGCGCGGTAACTTTATTTGTCGGGCGGCAATCTATCATTTTGTGCTCTAAATACACAAATAGCTATTAATAGTGCCTCGACACCTAAGGTACACAACGAAATTCACAGTCAACCACCTTGTATTCTCTCCTTGAGTTCCTGGTATTCCTCCTCTTCGAATCCCAGAAGTACGAACTTCTTATTTTCGAATATTTTATCGTTCACGGTATCGTCCTGAGTTCCTGACATCGTCGACTGTTGTGTGGAAGTATCAGCAGGTCGGAATTGGAGGGTCGAAGGCGGCGGTTCTTGAACCCCTTTGGACAAGTTCGTATTGGCCCCGTCTAAGAGTCTGGCCAGAGTGTCTTCTTCGGCTGAAAAATCACTGATCGATTATACCAGATGAAATAACTCCATCAGATTTGACTTAAAAAAATTCGTGTGCATAGGAGCATACGTCGGAAGTGACAACTTCTATAGCCGGTCAGTATTCCCAATATATTTTGGACAATTCTCCAGAAAGGAAATCTGAACGAAGTTATGTTAATTTTATGTTTTATATTTCCACGTAGTCGCTACATGGATGAACTAGAACTAATAGTAGATTGTTTTATTAGGATCAAAAGTGACACTTTGTTTGACAAGCGAATTTTGCATTTGCGAGGCGGAGCGTTTAGCGAAGCCGAGCGAAAGCAAAATTTGCGAGTCGAACAAAGTCACTTTTGATCCGAATGAAACATGCTATTTTTTCTGCAACCGAAACAATTAACTCAAATAAATATGTGAAGTTACCACCAATGCCGTGCCATATGTATGCAATTCAACAAATATTGACAAATAATCCGTGTAGTGAGAACATTATACCTGCATCAACAACAGGTTCATTCAATTTTCAAGGATGTTCGAATTGTAGTTTCAATATAAGTACAATCACAGAGTGACATATTTGTGTATGGACCAGGTGCTCTAATAGCAAATAATACCGCACCAGTGCCAGCTATAGGAACAAGACGTGGAAAATGTTAGGTTAATGAGCATATCAACAATGATAATGGCGATTATTTACTCCTCTCTATAATACAATGTTTTTCGCTTAATAATCAAATGAAGCTAAACAATATCGTTGTTTGAGACGAAAAACTATTGCTTGCCGTGATTATTCAAAAATAAGTTATCCATCCCGAGAATAACGAATGAAATACAGATCAAGCAAGTATTTGAATCTTGAAGGCTTTCCTGATCAAACAAAAATACTTAGCTGAGATGTTTATAATTCCAATACTAAACTATAATAAGGTGTATTCATATCTCCAGCATGGGTATGAATTTCCACATCTGCTGAAATCGGAAACAAATCAGGTATGCGTCTCAACCCAAATAACCAACCGTCACAATGTTGTTCATTCTTGATGACGTCCAGTACTTCCTTTTTAGTTCCTAGGAGCTAAAGTTCAACTTTAGCTCCTAGGAACTAAAATTCAACTTTAGCTCCTAGGAACTAAATATGTTGCCTAGCAACCTACCTATTTTTGTGTCAGTAATAGAAACGTCAATTTAAGAGCTAATTTTGGTATCAAAGTGGACGACTTTTGTGTCGGTTGCAGAAAAAAATAATTATGGGGAAATTTCAAGAATGAGAAAACCCAAATTGCATCTTATCATAGGTTTATAATACTCACACTGTGTATTATAAATGATTTAAATAATGTATAGTATTTTTCTGTAATTCGAGCGAGAACACAGTATGATTAGACTATTTGTGACTTTGATGCATGTCAGGTCAGTGCTGACGACTACGCTGTCTCTGACTTCAAACAATTGAATTTCAAACGATGACGTGGGGTTCACATATTGAATGTTAGATGGCGTGATTCCTAGAACTTATGATCATAGTCAGTTCTACCAACCTTGATGCGGCTCAATCGCAAAATGTATTCCCTATCTTCATTGGTCACAATTGTCACATTAATGCCTGTAATTTTGGTACAGCACCAGACTAAATTCAGCGAGATTCACCCACGCCATGTTATGTTTATCGAAGTAGGCGAAAATCAAGGAATTGTTAAACAGGAAAGGATTGAAGTGCGTACACCAGAGGTTTATTTTATCAATGATCTACCTATCGACAGAAACATTTGATAATCTACTGAAATACTTTTTTTGACACATTCATTATTATAATTACCTATTATTATCAATATTCAGTTAATCACATACACTTGTTACTTGCATGATATTTCAGCACGCTCTGTTCAAATTAATTTTACAAAATAAGTTATACATTTAAATGGGTAGCTACTGAGGACATGTATAAACCAAAAAAGGACAATACTTCATCCGATTCAGATCAAATTTATATTTTATATACCTCTCTACTATAACAGTTTGTTTGTTACGTTTTCTTTGTTGTTTAAATTTACTATTCCTGTTTTTTTTGTGATATTTGTGAGTATTTTCAAATTGAGAATTTGGAATATGTTTACTTATGCTTTAATAAAAATGTTTGCTTTGTTTGTTTTATTTTGTTGGAACTTGGTTATAGGTTCCTTTTATTATAATTTCCTGGAATTTGTATACCATTAAATAGATCTTAAATATATCTACTAATGAAAACTGAAATCTACAGAATTTTTGACAAGGTATTTAGTGATGAATTGAAAAACGAACTGGCAACCCTGCCTGTCGCATATCGACTAGACAGAGTGAGTCATAATGAAATAGTGCTGTGGAAAAATATACAAAATTCATTCACTGACAAGAAATATGATTCACCATCAACAATCATCTGACAGTCCAAAGCACACTCATCATAAATGAAATTATATTTGAATATCGTTTTCAAACAAGAGTAACAATATTACGTAGAAAATATTTTTTTCATATGTTCTAATCAATATCACTAGAGAGTTTCGTCAAAAAAGTAGTAGATTACGTCATCAGGATTCACGTGGCGCCCCCTGTAACAAACTGTAAAATAGTACATAAAATAATATTCCTTGTATAAAAATATGCCGCTGTGCCGATTTTGATAACAATTGACAAATATACAGTGAACCCATTAGCAAAAAACGAACAAAAATATTCAACTTTAACGCCCTGTATCTCTTTCTACATCAATATATTATCAAGGCATATTCGGTACTATCGGCATATTTTGGTCCAACATTCCGCCCTTAGCCATTCCAATAGTTATGACTCACCCTGTATAGGTCTACACTTTTAAGCGAACTTCTGTGCGTGACGCGAGTCTGGCCGTTTTACTGCCATCCCAGAAAGGGTCTAACGGGCCTATAGAAATTATCACTTCAAAAATGTTCTCCTAAATAAGGATAGAGATTTCCTCAGATCAACAGTGCTGTCCTAATGTTGATCAATATGTTGGTCAAACTTGTTAAACATTCAATCACCGAATTCACGAACATCGAATGAGTTATATGTATAAGAAAAACATGAGGTCAATATTGGTCAAACATGTAGAACATCTAATCATCGAATCAACGAACATCGAATGCGTGGTGTTTGAAAAAATGGTACAACAAATACAAAACGAATAAACTCACTGTTCGCTTGTCCAAGATAGTGTTGGACAATACAATCTTCTTCCATTTTTTCCTCGACATTACCGGAATCGCCAAGGTTAACTTCTATCTCCTTTTCGGTCACCGTTCTGTTCGACCTCAATAAATTCAACCCCTTTTTGCTCAAAGGGGAGCCCAATTGGCTACCCTCCATCTGAGAGGCGCTTATCAAGTACTTGTCTTCGTTCACTGGGTGTTCCTGATCTATGCTGTCTATGAGCCAACGAATAGATACTAGTAAGCTAGAAGTGCCCTTGCTTTGGATCAGTTTAGCTTCGTGGAATGTGTGGTCACCCACTATCACGTGGGTGACTCGGTCTGAGAAATTGTCGTACCTAGTGGCACCGCTCAAGTTGAGGATTTTGTTCAGTTTTTCGGTGTGTTCTGCGCCGAATCCAGTCACATAAACCTACAATATTAGTACACTACACTGTTTTACCACTAACCAAACCGACTTTTTAACGCCTCGACACGTGTTTCGCTAACTATGTTAGCATCTTCAGGAGAAGATAAGATCTAGTTTTAATCTTCCCCTGAAGATGCTAATATAGTTAGCGAAACACGTGTCGAGGCGTTAAAAAGTCGGTTTGGTTAGTGGTAAAACAGTGTAGTGTATTATCGTGCCAAAGGTTCCAGTCTTCGATATACAATATTAGTGTTTTCAAAGTCTATTTTTGTCTCATTGAAAGGAAGATTCCATTGTAATCAGTGGCTATTCTTTCAAGAGGAACGGAAGACAGGTAGATTTAAAGGCATTCTAGAAGACAATAAAACTAGGAATTTGTTTCGCTGTCACATCTACTTGTCAAAGTCGATTGTGTTTTGATGTTTTCGTAATCCCATACTGTTACAAAGCAAATCTCTGACCTACCCAAATATCCGTAAGACAAGTCGAATCATGTGAAAAATAAGCAGTTAAATCGACAGATCCATTTTTTCTGAATTCCACTATTTTTTTCTCGTTCACAGGAATAATATAATATAGTATATTGTTTAACGGGCACGGAATGATAGTGATTCCCTATACAAGAATGTAGTTTGCAGCATGAGCCATAGGCGAGTGCTGCAATCATTCGAGTAGGAAATTAGCATTCCATGTAAGTTATACACTATAATTTCTCTACGGCTATAATAGATAACAGCGGCATTTTCGATTTCCTCGTCTTGTAGCCTTTTGATTTCCTGTCAAGTAATGCTCATTCATTTGACTGAGCTGTCATTGCTTGAAAATTGACATTCCATGGGCGATGAGTATTTTTTGACATACAAAGTACCTCATTGATGTATCGAACACAGTAAAACAAGAAACTTCCGGTGAAAAATCGAAAAAACCCGGAAAAACCACCTTAGAGTTTTCCGATTTCCTTCATATTTTAATGACATGATATTGTTTTGAGTACAATAAGATGGCGAAATTTCAAGTCGATATGTCAAAGGGTTCCGGAGATATATCGATTTATGATTACCACAGAGTACAGACAGACAGACAGACCACACACAAAAACTAAAGTTGCTCAAAATTCGATGGGGATCATTTTCTCCAAAGTAACTATACCTCTATCTCCCTTAGTTTCCGAGATAGCATTTTTGGCAAGGCCTTAGTATACTCCACTATATAGGTATAGCGTCGTATAACAAGAGCAATCTTATGTTATAGCCGTAGAAAAATTATATTGTGCTACTCAAAAGTGTATGTGTATTTTCGCATTTTTCGTTGTTATCGCCCAAAATACGGCGAGTCGTAATGAGAAACATGGTTGGCGAAAAATTAGATTGTCGTTTTCTATGACGGAATTATTGTCAAAAAAATCTGTGATGCGACACTCGATATTAGCTATACATATACATTGATGACAAAAAATGAAAATTGTTCTCCTATAGTTGGTACATTTCGACTCAATGCATCGCTCAATGTTTTCGAGACTATATGGCAACATAACCTCACTTTCATATTTATATTTCGTGCTTGTTTGATACCCTACTTAGCGAAAAATGATCCATTTTTGCTGTCATTATCACTGAATGAAGAACGCATACATACGCTGCACACCAGAGTTTGGGTGAACACACGTACAAAAAATTTATAAAGTAACCATCCTCGCATAGCATACTGATGTCGCAGACTATTCAACCAGATTATTATTTCTAATGAAAAATGTGGAGATGTGTTTCATCATAACACCATGTGAACATATCGACTTTACGAGAAAAAAATATACCTATCGTCTTTCATATCGAATGACGTCAATGAGATCTGTCACCTGCCACATTCTGTGGAAATCCTCAGATATTCACATATTCAAGGACATATGCGCGGGTTTTGCATAGTTTTGAAGGTCTACATAGCCAGCAGAAATGACGATTATCTTAGTGCTCTGAAATTTCGCTCTTTGCATATACAAGGTACTAACACACAATAATGACTGAAAAAAGAATTATCACTTTTAGGTGCCTACGATACCTATAGTTGGTAAGTACATTACTGTCGATATGGCCTGAATGTGATTGTAGAATGACTTCGAGACTGATATTGATTTAATGGTATTCAGATGACAATTGAAAAGTTAATGTTAACAGCCGTTCGCTATATTGAGATTTTTTGTAGAATTACGAGGTAGCTGCGGTTTTTCCTTTCCTCGGAATCAAAATGTAATTTTTCAGTGGGATTAAGAAAAATCTTCAACGACAGACTGCCGATACGCAAATAACGGATTCGGTTGTTATAATCCTCGGCTGTGCCTCGGATTACAATATTCAACCTCATCCGTTATTTGCTACATATCGGCCTTGTAACATTAATAACTGAAACACTAATCAAAAATGGCAATAATTTAGTCATTTATTCCAAAAAGGATGACTAATTCAAAATTGGATCGACAAGATTCTGTTGCTGTAAATGTACCTACATATACTTCAATGAAAACAAAGAGAGCAAAAGAGTATAAATGTTTACTTAGAGAATATCTTCCGTTCCTCTTAAATTTAACGGACTGAGAACATTTATTGTTTCACAAAGATATAACTAACTTTTTTAACAGTATTCAACTTTTTTATTATTACAAAAACTATTTTTCTTGTTCCAGAAATTTATAGTTTGAAATCATGGATTTTTCACGACTCCTACATACCGAACATCCATCCAAATACTGTCCTGCCTTCTTGGCCTTTTTAATATCCAAATTTTCCACCAAATCCCCGTAGTTATCTTTCGCTGAAAAATATTTTTTTTTATAGCCTTGCAAATAATGATTTTCCAAATCAACAAATAACATGGCCAACAACGTGAATTCAAATAAAGGTTACTTTTTATCGGGTCAGCTTTCGATTTCTGTTTTCAAGTCTCAGATCGAAAGCACATGTGTTTTTTTGTTAAACCTAGGAATTATGTGAAATAGTTGCAGTTGCCATGATTGAATTCGAAGCTGCAGAGATATCAGAGTGTTTCCGAAATTGGGGCGATGAATAAATAATTGTTCGAAAATTTCTCCAAAAATTTGCTACATTTTTCAACTATTATTGAACGTCCGGCAACTTTGCAAAAGTCATTGATACTTCCGATGCTTGTGATCTCGTCGAAAGCAGACGCTTGGGTTGGGCTATCAACCTCTGATCAATGATTCACAAAAGTTTCGAGCAAACTTTGAAGCTCAATATCTTACAAAATATTCGTTTTCAGAATGTACTTACATTTCGTTTTGTTTCTTCGTCTCCTACTATCCATTTCAATGATCGCCCCAATTTCGGAAACACCCATTATATCGAGATTATTTTCCAAATGGAAGGATAGATACCTTACACAACAGCTTCCTTATTATAATAATAGGTATATATTCTCTTACAAGCACTCTTTAAAAAAAATATTCTACGTTCCAATGTACGTATATCTATCATTTCTTTAAATATTTCATCTGATAATTGAATCGTTGAAATGAGAGTTCCAAAGCTCGTTTGGCATAAAGCTATAAAGAGATATTCAAACCATCAATTAGTTATTTTCTGCATGAAACACGACGAGGACTCTTACGAGGGGGATGTACCCACACGTAACGTCGTAATGTCTCTCTACAAAAGAAATTTACACCTTTGAATAGTTATAGATAGTGGTTTCCAGAGGAAATTGTAACCTGATGCCTATTGAATTTCAATGATTAAATTTTTTTTTTCGATATGTCTCAATTTCTGAATCCTAATTTTACATTTCTAAATCATCCTAAATTTCCCTAATGCTGTTATAGGACTCTGGTGTCCTTTTCAGCATGTAAAAGTTTATTATGAAAAAAACTGGTGGATCTTTCTCTTGAAGTTTGTCATATTGTTATTTCCTAGATATACATGGTGAATAATTTCTTATCGACTATATACTATATTATGAAACGGTGTTCGGCGCACGAATATCAGTACAGGCGGAGTAGATAAAATGTTTTTACATGCCTCTGGGACATATATCATTTCGTTATCAGATGAAATTTGCATCAATCTCTTGGACTAATAATTTCGATTGACGGTTGATTTGTTTGAACGCTTGAGACCAAGAGACTGTCGAAAGTGGATGTAAATATCTAGACGATTGCTGGATTTGTATCGATTTGCTGCAATTTCCAACTCTTTGGATCTGTTGAGAAATCGGAGTATAGGCGATTTTGAGGTGCTAAAATCATAAATTATGCCACGGTAATTTTCAAACGGATAGAAATTCACCGCGAGTGAAAACTGATGTCACGATTTCGTAAGTAAGAGCAGACCATAGCACAGTTGCTATGTGTTGAAATACGTTTTTTGGATGTATGATAAATTGACATTCATAAATTCTCAATTATGTACTGGTGATATTCCTATTTAGCAATACAAAATCAATTGACTCAAAATGCTCCTTTATAATACATTGAATTGTAATTATATTAATCCACACTAGGGGAAATTTGAAGCGGTGAACGTCACAACACCGCGCGCACGACTTGTGGGCGTGGTCTTGCCCCTTCTCAGCATTCAGCACAATGTTGCCAAGTCTCCAACATCAACATGAAATTTTGTTATGGAGTATTAGACATATTTGGACATGTTGGTTGCCCGAAAGAGTCAAGAATGAACTATAATATCATGAGTTCCTCCTATCATGTTTTATTCAACGACAGGACTCGTAGATCTTTTTGATAACTCGATTATAATTGGTGACTTGACAACCTTGCTTCGTGAGTGGAAATGGAAGATTATCTGACCAATAACGAAACAGGATAAAAGCTGACGTTGCCATTTATTCGACGTATCGCCAAATAATGGCCATGGCGGTACGTTTGAAATGAGCCCCAAAATTCAACAATTTCGAACAACGCATACACTCATTATTTACATTAAAAACATGTGAGAAATGTTGCAAAAATCAATTCAGGTTCCTAACGACACAGTGTAGTAATTAAATGTCAATAATTCAGTCCACTCGCCCCTTGCCAAAATTGATTTGTATGGCCTTCTGCATGGATAGATAGATAAATTATACTCAATGATGACATATTTCTTAGGGGTTTCGTAAATAAATATCATGAAAACTATGTACTATATAGTTTTGTAATGTTATGTATTTTTGTTGAGCTGAACATACCTTTTCTAGGTGAAAATGGAGAAGCGATAGTGTCTTCCACCCAAGTCCTTTGCGATATATTTGGACCCCCTATAGCGCTCAAAATAGAAAACTCAGGATTCACGGCCTCTTTGGTTGGAGTCGACGTTATTCTTTGTACTTGATAGTCATCGTGAGGCAAGGCGTAACCTTTACTCACGCTGTCTATTATCCAATCGACAGTGACGCATTTGATATTGGGTTTCTGACGAGCAGCTTTGTATTTATCACTATTCAACCCCCTATTGATTGGAAAATATCAGAAATTTATAACATTGACTTGTACAAGGAAGAGCAGGGTCTAGAAAATCTGATGTTTCATACTTTTCACAGAATGAGGACAGGATATAAATTGTCGTAAGTAATATCACGATGTTCTGAATGTTCGAGATGATTCTGTCGCATTGTTCAACAAATTGTGTTGCCAAGCAACACCACGAGTCCGTCAGGTTAGGTTGCTGAATTTCCTCCCGAAACCCGCGTAGTAAAGAAAAATTGTTTGTATCATTGAGTAGAGTTTGCCTCCTTCAAGTTGAATGGAGATTTGGATTTTGGGAATAACATTTTGAAAAATTTTCCTTATTCTCGTAATTCAAATCTCCGTTGATTGTATTGTTGTGTTATTTGTTTCACATAGGTACATCTATGTAGAACCTCGAATGCCATGTGGCAAGCAATATTCCCACACTCAAATCAAATAGAGGTACCATGCCTTATAAGTAGCCCTGAGATAGTGATGAACATAAGGAAATTACTCATAACTTGAAAACGTCGCAACCGATTTTGATTTTTTTCAGCGATGAAAAGGCGAATGATGTCGAAATAAATCTGTGATGAAAAATACAGGGTGTTCCATTTGGAAAATTCAAATAAACGTCGTCTGAATCTTACAATATTCAGAATGTAAATTTTAGCACCCTGTAAAGGATAATCTCGCAAAATTACTGGATTGGTGTACGTAAGACCTTGCTACTACTGTATGCCAAAAATATTTTCAAAATTTTGATGAATGAATGTACCATACCAAATTCAACATGACCCTTCAATAGTAGTAAAAATAGGTTTATCAATTATAACTCGGCAACGCCGCAACCAAATTCAAGTTCTTTTACATCGATGTAGAGCTAAACCTTATCGGAATGAATTTCGAATTAAAAATACTGGGTGTTCTATTCAAAAAACTCTTCTCCGAGTCGTCCCGCTTTTATAAAACACCCAGTATTGTTGAAAATATTCTTGAAATGGAACCTTCAATAACGGAAGAAATTTGTTTTCAAAAGTTTTTTCTAGTGATAATGTATTTCGAGATATCGAAGAATTACGCACTGAATGGACACACTGTATACTTGAAAGATGCTTCAGAACCAATAAGAATATCCTAGTATTCCTAATAATGATCCAGATATTATTTAATCCCGAATTATTTTGTGGTTCGGGCAACAGTGTAATGCCAAAGTTCCCAGAAATACAAAAACAAAAGAAGAAAAAGAACTACATTGTCAACAATGTCAACCTAACTTCCTGACGTTAATATCGGATGTCACCTTCATCGTCAAATCCTTGTTCCATCTAGTCTAGATGCGATTATTCAAAGATAATCCTCAAACTGTCAGATTCTTTAGTTGTGTGTTGAACTCTTTGTTATCTGGAGCACGTATTCAATACACAAAATTAATTCCATATTCTGAATGAAATGACAATCAGAAATATTATTGCACGTGTCTACTGGAAATAGAGAATTGATACATAAGTCAAATCTTATATGGTGTTCTCGGATGATTATGTCACGCGTTTTTCATGTTATTAAATATCGTGAATTTCAATTATTATAAAAAAAAGCGAGAAGTGAGAACAATGAAGTAATGCGGGGAATGAAGTCTTTTTAACTTGGCAACATTGTGTTAGCAAAAGTGACTTCATCTCTTTCTCTTTTGTAGACAATGTTGCCAGAATAGCTATAGAATTTTCCAGGAATGAGTACTTGAAATAATAGTAACACTGTTTGAGTTGTTGATTATAACAATTAGTCAACGAAATATCAACATCATAACAAAAACCAAACTATATATAAAAAGCGTATTACTGTTAGATGCCTGCATCACAATTTATCCTAGCTAATCTTGAAACTAATGGAATACTTCGGAGTTCAGAGTGAATTGAATGTGATCAACACTGAATTACCAATCAACTAATCACGTACTACATAGTAATTTCCAATCATGGCATTCCTTGCACCTTGCACCATCTTGCACATAGAATCAATTCAAGGATTTGATAGAGACCTGGCAACAGCGGCATGCCTCCCATTCGCCACAACTCCAACCAATCAAATTGCAAGCAGACACTGACATGACAGCTCAGTAGCGTTTGAATTCATAGGTGAAGAAATTGCATTTTCAATATCAAATAATTCATTTGTTGTTCGGTATTTTCGAAAAATATGTAGTAGGGATAAAGTTCTTGACTTCCCTTCATAACATTATACAATACTGGAAAGGCCCATCATAAGTGGACTGGAATTAGAAATAACAAATTCGTCCGCCATCTTGTAGGAACCATTTTGAATATTTTTGCAACGAAAGTGCCGGAAATTTGTAGCAAACAGAGAGACATAATGAAAAAATGTAAAAATATATATTTCCAGCAAATTTTTCACCACACATGGTTGAAAATTTCGTATTGTACTTATGTGGAATATTCCATGTTTTCAATTTTTTTTCAAAATTGCATCACTTTATGGAGTAGTTGAGGTACCTAGAGCCAGGAATTTCCATCAAAGAGTGCAGCCAATACATTTGGGCTATGTTTTGTTATACAATCGACTTTTGGAACAGTATACAGATACCATATATGTATTAATAATCAATACGGATAATCTCTATCTGTTTCCATAGCGAAACATGAAGCCGATTTTTGAAGACAAATGACTATCCATAAGGAAAAGTTTTGAAACGATCAGACACATACTGCTTTGATTGAAAGGCTAGTAAACGTTATTGTCCACCGAAACGCATGTCTTTGATGACTACTATAATAGCGCATGGCGCATGCGTATCATGCCACCAAATCCTTATGGATATTCATCTGTTTCATATTTTTGGCTTCATCCTGGCACCCGTTATGATCCGTATTGTTTATTAATACGTATATGACTGATACTTGATAATTCTCAGTGGAATACTATTATGAATGCATAAACCAAGAATAACGCAAATTATTTCTGCAAAAAATACTCAACTTATTTTGTGAAAAATATTTCAAGACATAACAAAAAATGTGATCCTGCTCTCTGAAAAGAATTAAACATTAGATCTTATAGGCACTTTAGTAAAAGTAGATCATTATAATATCATATTCATTGAATTACACAGTTATGAGACTAGTAGTTAGTTGTGATTTTGAAGCCAATAATTTGGTTGTTCAATGTCTTGCTATGTTGTGATATACTATTCAAAACAGTGGGATTCTTTAATCTTATTTTTTTTTAATTCACTTGTCTGACAACTTAAAATTTGCCAGAACAAATGAGAAAACTACTATTAGCAATTGATAACATGTAACAAGGATACTCATATTGTTATTATAACCTACCATTTAGTTTTATATATATATATATATATATATATATATTTTGTGGGGATGCAGCTGATGTGGGACTCAAAAGAAAACTCTTTTTACTTTTGAGAAAGCTTTCGGAATTTATTTAATTCCTTCGTCAGTCTCTCTAAAATGGAATGCACAATTATAATATTCAGAAGAAATGGGTATTAAAAATTACTTACAGTATATGAGGTTGTAGAATTGCAAATCAGAATAATATGTAGTATAAAATTGTAAAAAATGCATAAATTGATGGATATAAAACTAATATAACTTTGTCAAAGTGACAATATGTAACATGAAAAAATACATGGGGTTGAAAAATTAGATAGGTAAAAGGTTGATCAAGATGGAATTGAATTTATGGATATATTGTGTCTATCATGCCTTTTATTCTCTATTTCTAGAATATTTGAATAAATTACATTTAAATTTTGAATATCTGTTTTTTTATTCATTGAGCATTTTTCATTTTTTATATAAATCATTTCTAAGAAACATCTCTTGAAAGTATTTTTCTCTGATACTAATATCGAGATGTTATCAAAATCCATTGGATGTCCAGTATCATTAACATGTTGGGATAAAGCGCATGCATTTGGTTTTACACGAATATCACTTTTATGCGATGTAATTCTTGATTTCAAATTTCTAGATGTCTCTCCAATATATTTTAGATCACATTCTTTACAATTTATCTCATATACTACACCAGCTCTATCAATATTTGGAGTTTTATCTTTCAATTTCGTGAAAAGTTTACTCACAGTTTTGATTGGTTTGTTAGTCATTACAATTTCATCTTGTTGTTTTAGTACATTATTAATTTTTGAAGTCAGATCCCTGATATATGGTAATGATCTATATTTTTTTAAAATAATATCAGGCTGTGTATTTCTAATGTTTATATCATTGTTATGTAATTGAGTGGTTCTATTATCTGAAATATTTGGAGTTGAAAAAAGTAATTTGTTGAGTAAATGATTTCTCTTATCACACAGAGAAAACTAAAATAAATTTGATTCTTGGAATGAAAAATAGAATAATAAAAATATGTCATCCAAATCTTAAACAACAAAATTTGAGAAAATTATTCGATTTATTGATTGAAAATTCCTATCCAAAATATTTACTCAACAAATTACTTTTTTCAACTCCAAATATTTCAGATAATAGAACCACTCAATTACATAACAATGATATAAACATTAGAAATACACAGCCTGATATTATTTTAAAAAAATATAGATCATTACCATATATCAGGGATCTGACTTCAAAAATTAATAATGTACTAAAACAACAAGATGAAATTGTAATGACTAACAAACCAATCAAAACTGTGAGTAAACTTTTCACGAAATTGAAAGATAAAACTCCAAATATTGATAGAGCTGGTGTAGTATATGAGATAAATTGTAAAGAATGTGATCTAAAATATATTGGAGAGACATCTAGAAATTTGAAATCAAGAATTACATCGCATAAAAGTGATATTCGTGTAAAACCAAATGCATGCGCTTTATCCCAACATGTTAATGATACTGGACATCCAATGGATTTTGATAACATCTCGATATTAGTATCAGAGAAAAATACTTTCAAGAGATGTTTCTTAGAAATGATTTATATAAAAAATGAA